GGTACGGCCTCACCTGGGGGGCGTGGCCTGGCTGGGGGGCGTGGCTTGAGTGTGGTGGGTGTGGCTTGGCTCTGGGGGCGTGGCTTGTGTCTGGGTGGGTGTGGCCTAGCACTATTGGGGTGTGGCCTGAAATCTATGTGGGTGTGGCCTGGCTCTGTAGGGGGCGTGGCCTTTGGGTGGAGAGGCGTGGCCTCACTCCGTGGGGGTGTTTCCTGTCTCTATGGGGGCGTGTCCTGTCTCTGTGGGGGTGTGTCCTCTCTCTGTATGGGCGTGGCCTGGCTCTGTCATGTATGTTCTCTCTATGGGGGCGTGTCCTGTAGGTAGAGGGGCGTGGCCTTGCTCTGTTAAAGTGTTTCCTGTCTCTATGGGGGCGTGGCCTGGCTCTATGTGGGAGTGGCCCGCCAGCAAAACCGCATTGCACAACTATGTGGGCGTGGCCTGGCTGTGTTGGGGGGCGTGGCCTGCCCCTTTGAGGGGCGTGTCCCACTGACAGAAGGGCGTGTCCTCTCTATGTGGGCGGCAAAACCGCATTGCGCGACTACATGGGCGTGGCCCGGCCGCGCGGGGGGCGTGTCCCCCGGCCCGGAGGGGCGTGTCCCGGCTGACCCCGCCCCCCGCAGGGCTGGTCTCGGTGCTGGTGCCGCTCTACGTGGGGGAGGTGGCGCCGCTGCGGCTGCGGGGGGCGCTGGGGACGCTGCACCAGCTCGGCATCGTCCTGGGCATCCTGCTGGCGCAGGTGGGCGGGGCCAGAGGGGTGGGCGGGGCTTGTGTGGGACCTTCCTCCTCCTCTTCCTCTGTACCAAATTTCCTTCCTCCTCTTCCTCACTCCCGATTCTTCCTCCTCTTCGCCTTTGTTTTCCTCCTCTTCCTCACTGCCTTTTGTCCTCCACTCCCTCCTTAATTTTCTTCCTCCTCCTCTTTCTCTTCCAGTTCCTGATCTTCCTCCCCACCTTTGTCTTCCTCCTCTATCACCTTCATCCTCCTCTTCCTCTGTCCCAAATTTTCTTCTTCCCCGCCTTCCTCTTCCTCTTCCTCAATCCCCGTTCCTCCTCCTCCCCACCTTCATCTTCCTCCTCCATCCCCCTTCATCTTCCTCTTCCTCCATCCCTGTTCTTCCTCCCTGCCCTCATCCCCTTCTTCCTCCTCTTCCTCTGTCACAAGTTTTCCTCTTCCTCCTCTTCCTCTTCTTCTTCCTCCGCCTCTTCCTCTTCCTCAATTCCCATTTTCTACTCACCTTCATCTTCCTCCTCTTCCTCTCTCCCCGTTCTTCCTCTTCCTCCATCCCCATCCTCCTCCTCACCTTCACCTCCCTCCTCCTCCTCCCCTCCCCCCATATCACAACAAGCCCCGCCCCCTCTCTCCCCAGGCCTCTCGCGATTGGCCGGCCCGGCGGCGGAGGCGGGGCTGGCGGCGCTGGAGGCGGAGCTTGACCAAGGCCCCGCCCCCAAGGTGGGGCTGCTGGAGCTGTGCCGGAGCCGGCGCTACCGGCAGCCGCTGATCGTCACCCTGGGGCTGCAGCTGGCGCAGCAGCTCTCGGGGATAAACGCGGTAAAAATGGGGGAAAACAGGGAGAAATTGGGGAAAACCAGCTAAAAATTGGGGAAAAACAGATAAAAATTGGGAAAAAACAGCTAAAGATTGGGAAAAACGGGCGGGAAATAGTGAAAAGTGGGCGTGGTTAAAGGGAAATGGGTGTGGCAGTGGGCGGGGCTATGGTGTCACCCTGGGGCTGCAGCTCTCGGGGATAAACATGGTAAAAATGGGGGGAAACGGCCAAAATTGGGAAAAAAACGGCTAAAAATTGGGAAAATCGGGCGGGAAATAGTGAAAAGTGGGCGTGGTTAAAGGGAAATGGGTGTGGCAGTGGGCGGGGCTATGGCGGCACCCTTGGGCTGCAGCTGGCGCAGCAGCTCTCGGGGATAAACGTGGTAAAAATGGGGGAAACAGGGAAAAATTGGGAAAAAACGGCTAAAAACTGGGAAAAACTGGCGGGAAATCGGGAAAAACGGGCGGGAAATAGTGAAAAGTGGGCGTGGTTAAACGGAAATGGGTGTGGCAGTGGGCGGGGCTATGGTGTCACCCTGGGGCTGCAGCTGGCACAGCAGCTCTCGGGGATAAATGCGGTAAAAATGGGGGAAACAGGGAAAAATTGGGAAAAAACTGCTAAAAATTGGGAAAAACGGGCGGGAAATTGGGAAAAATGGGAGGGAAATAGTGAAAAGTGGGCGTGGTTAAAGGGAAATGGGTGTGGCAGTGGGCGGGGCTATGGTGTCACCCTGGGGCTGCAGCTGGCACAGCAGCTCTCAGGGATACACGCGGTAAAAATGGGGGGAACAGGGAAAAATTGGGAAAAAACAGCTAAAAATTGGGAAAAAACAGATAAAAATTGGGAAAAAACAGCTAAAAATTGGGAAAAAACAGATAAAAATTGGGAAAAAACAGCTAAAAATTGGGAAAAAACAGCTAAAAATTAGGAAAAACAGGCAGGAAATAGGGAAAAGTGGGCGTGGTTAAAGGGAAATGGGTGTGGAAGTGGGCGGGGCCATTAACAGCACTCTGACACTGCAGCTCTTGGGGATAAACGTGGTAAAAATGGGGGGAAACGGCAAAAATTGGGGGAAAACAGCTAAAAATTGGGAAAAAACAGCTAAAGTTTGGGGAAAACGGGCGGGAAATAGTTAAAAGTGGGCGTGGTTAAAGGGAAATGGGTGTGGCAGTGGGCGGGGCTATGGCGGCACCCTGGGCTGCAGCTGGCGCAGCAGCTCTCGGGGCTAAACGCGGTAAAAATGGGGGGAAACAGGGAGAAATTGGGGAAAACCAGCTAAAAATTGGGAAAAACCAGCTAAAAATTGGGAAAAAACAGCTAAAAATTGGGAAAAACCAGCTAAAAATTGGGGGAAAACAGCTAAAAACTGGGAAAAACGGGCGGGAAATTGGGAAAAGTGGGCGGGGTTAAAGGGAAATGGGTGTGGCAGTGGGCGGGGCTATGGCGGCACCCTGGGGCTGCAGCTCTCGGGGATAAACGTGGTAAAAATGGGGGGAAACGGCCAAAATTGGGAAAATACAGCTAAAAATTGGGAAAAATGGGAGGGAAATAGTGAAAAGTGGGCGTGGTTAAAGGGAAATGGGCGTGGCAGTGGGCGGGGCCATTAACAGCATTCTGACACCACAGCTCTCGGGGATAAAGGCTGTAAAAATGGGGAAAACCAGCCAAAACTGGGGGAAATGAGATAAAAGCAGTGAAAATGGGTGTGGTTTGTGGGGAAAGGGGCGTGGCCATGGGAATGCAGTTCTCTGTATTAAAGAATGGGGCGGGGCTTAACAGGGTGTGGTCACAAGTGGCAGGGTCAGAAGCAGAACAAGGGGCGGGGCTTGAACCAAAGGGCGTGGCTAAATGAGAGGGTGGAGCCTATAAAGGCATGGTTTAGGGGAGGAGCCTAAATGGGCGTGGCCCCTTTTGGACAGGGCGTGGCCTGAGCTGCATCAATGTGATTGGGGGGATGTTTTTAGGGTGGGGCATTCTGGAGCTGTGGTAAAATGGGGTGTGGCTTAAGAGGGCGTGTCCTGACCACGCCCCTTTCCTGCCCCAGATTTTCTACTATTCGACGTCCATCTTTGAGGGGGCGGGGCTTCAGGACCCGGCTGTCGGCACCATCGGAACGGGCGTGGTCAACGTGGCGGCCACCGCCCTGTCGGTAAGCCACGCCCCCGGCCACACCCTCCTTGGGTTACCCTGGGTGGGCGTGGTCATGAGGGGTGTGGTTTTATTGTGGGCGTGGTCTCACTGGGGTGTGGCCCTGTTGGGTGGGGTCTTCCAAGTGGGTGTGCTCCTGAAGGGGCGGAGTCTTATGGGTGGGTGGGGTCTGGGGAATGGGCGTGGTCATGAGTAGGAGTGGCTTCCTGGTGGGTGTGGTCACAGGGGGAGGAGTCTAAATGGGTGTGGTCACAAGAGGCGTATCATTGGGGGTGTGGTCACAAGGGGGCGGTGCGTCAGGGATGGTTGTGGCCACTACTGGGAGAGGTCCCATGGTGGGGTGGAGTCTCATCAGTGGGAGTGGCCTCCCCATGGGCGTGTTCCACTGAAGCCCCGCCCCGCAGGTGGTGCTGGTGGAGCGGGCGGGGCTGTGATGGGGTAATGGGGGCGGGGTCTGTGTGTGGGCGTGTCCCAGTGAAGCCCCGCCCCCAGGTGGTGCTGGTGGAGCGGGCGGGGCTGCGATGGGGGAATGGGGGCGGGGGGCGTGGGTGGGCGTGGCCCCGTGAAGCGTGTCCCAGTGAAGCCCCGCCCCCAGGTGGTGCTGGTGGAGCGGGCGGGGCTAATGGGGGCGGGGTCTGTGGGTGGGCGTGTCCCAGTGAAGCCCCGCCCCCAGGTGGTGCTGGTGGAGCGGGCGGGGCTGGGATGGGGTAATGGGGGCGGGGTCTGTGGGTGGGCGTGTCCCAGTGAAGCCCCGCCCCCAGGTGGTGCTGGTGGAGCGGGCGGGGCGCCGCGTGCTGCAGCTCGTGGGGCTGCTGGGGATGATGGCGTGCGCCGTGACCCTGGGGCTGGCGCTCAAGGTGAGCACGGGGGGACCCCAAAATGTCCTGGGCAC